AGTAAAATTAAAGACATGGGAGAAAGCCTGGGCCTTTCTTTAAACTCCACCAAATGTGAAATAGTTTCTACCAATCAACAGATGATCCAGAATATTAGTGCCATTTTATCAGGAGCACGAGCCATTGATCCAGCCAATAGCACTCTCCTCGGTGCTCCTCTTGGGTACAGTGCCATCGATCTGATCCTAGGAAAAAAAGTCTCAGACCTCCGGACGATGGAAAGCAGGATGAAAGACATTGACACACACGATGCCTTCTACCTACTCACCAGGTGCCTGTCAATCCCAAAACTTACCTATTTTCTGAGATGCTCCCCAGCCTTCAGCAGTCCAAAACTCAAGGAATATGACTCTCTCCTGAAGGCCATGCTAGAGAGTGTATTGAATCTTTCCCTTGACGATGGACAGTGGTTGCAAGCCTCACTTCCGGTCAGGCTTGGAGGGCTAGGAGTACGCAGATCCTCCCAGATTGCTTTCCTATCCTCTTCCATTGCATCAAACGAGTTGATAAGACAAATTCTTCCTGACACCCTCAGTGACTCACCAGGAATAGAAGACCCTAGCTATGCCAGTGCCATCACCGAATGGGAGACTTGCTGCTCCAGCACCAAACCCTAGTGCAGCATTGGCTCACAGTCAAGCTGGGATGGCCCAATTGCTGAAAAGGCGCTTGCCAACATGCTCAGGGCTGCAACATCAGATAGGGAGATTGCCCGTCTCCAGGCTGAGTGCATCTCACTCCGGGGACTTCCTCCAAACAGTTCCCATATCGGCAATGGGAACGCGACTCGACCCTAAGACCCTCCGTATTGCAGTGGCTCTGCGCCTTGCTGCCCCAATTCACACAGAATATATGTGTATTTGCGGCGAAGTGCAAGCAGACCAATACAGTCTACATGGTCTTAACTGTTCCAAAACCAAGGGCTGGCATGCAAGACACAATGAGGTCAACGACATCATTAAGAGAACCCTTGCTACAGCTGGATGCCCTGCCGAGAGGGAGCCACGATCACTTGCAGCAAACAATACCCACAACCCATCAAACCGCCCCGACGGGATCACCATCTATCCTTGGAAGAATGGCAAGCTCTTAGCATGGGACTATACCTGTGTGTCCACACTGGCTGACACTATATCCGTCACAGTGTGGGGCGACAGGGAGGAGCTGCTGACCACAGGGAGGAGTACAAGATCAGCAAGTACAGGGACATTAGCCAACAGTATCAATTTGTCCCAGTGGGATCAGAGACCTTGGGATCATGGGGAAAAATGCCACACGTTTCCTTAAAGAATTGGGTTCCAGACTCATCGACACCACCAGGGACCCAAGGGCAGCCACTTTCATGTTCCAGCGCCTCAGCGTCACCATCCAGAGGGGAAATGCTTGCTGCATACTTGGCTCACGTCCAGCCTCGGAGGAGCTGGAGGAAATTCATGATCTTTGATACATTGTGCCATTGTATTCATGTTTATGTTTTTTCTGTAAATGTATTTTGTTTATTAATAAATGTTCACATAGAATAAAAAAACATATAGGGGTGGTAGGAGAAGAAAATATTCAAACAGCTCCGGGGAGAACCTTGAGTTTTCCCTGAGGTACGTTTATTGTCTTCTCTGAGGATGAGGGTCCCCATTCCAGCTATAGAGGTGGTATATATTATTGATTTTAGTATCATTAAATAAATTTAAACTGATCTGTATATAGCAGAATTTAGTTAGGTTAAGTGAGCTTCCTAAGTTAGGTTTGGTCCAAAAATAAAAAGTACATCTTTGTCAGTGAGAAGAAAACATCTGTAAAAATATTTCGGAAAAAGTCCAGTATTTAAGGAAGTTCAGTCTATTCGGCAAGTTTGCTTTAGCAACTTTGTTGACATATTTCCACTTTCAGATTCATGTTCCATTCCTCTCATGTCTTTCTACATAATCAGTGAAGTGTGTTTGTCCAACAGGTTCGTGCTGGGCATGGCGTGTGGGGCATCCTCGGTGGCTGGAACACTCTACGTCATCGAACTTGCAGACGCCAGTGTTCGTGGAATGATGGCATCTATACCCACATTAGGAATAGTTTTAGGTGGTCTGTACACAGTTGGTTTGGGTTACGTTCTTGAGTGGCATTACCTGGCACTGGTGTGTTCCCTCCCTCCTATAATGTTTTTTGTGTGTACTTTCTGTCTACCAGATTCACCATCATTCTTAGTGGTAAAAGGATCTCCAGAAAAAGCTTTAAAAATCCTAAGAAAACTTCGAGGTCCCTATGCCGACATTGGCTCAGAAGTAGCAGATTTGGAGAAGCGTAACCAGGCTACTTCAGGTGGCTGGAGGGCACTTCTGAAACGTTATATAGTGATGCGAATGGCTGTAATAGATATACTATTCTTTTTGCAGCAGTTCTGTGGTAACTATGTTTTCATGGTGCATACATCCAGAGTTCTACAAGCATCTGGAGTGCGGTGGGACCCAGACATGGTCACAGTCATTGTTGGTGTTGTCAGAGTGCTGGGGACGCTGGTAGCTTTTGTGCTTATCGACCGTACTGGTCGTCGCTACTGCCTGGTTCTGTCTCACGCTATCAATTCATCTGCCTTAGTAATACTCGGCATATATGTCCATCTCGCTGAAGCTTCTCAATCCGAGGACGACACTTATTCAAGGTAGAAAAACTAGTTTGTTTTGTTTTTGAACACACCTTCTGTCCTACCAAGGCAGGGTGAGCCAAAGAAGGAAAATAATTTATTTCTCTCCTATATTGTTTTATCCGAAAATTACAGATATTTTAATGCACTGATGACCCACTAGACTGCAGCATCGCAGAGTGCAAGCACTGTACTGTACTATCCGCCTCTTCAAGATACCTCGAACTTGATGAAGGGCTCTTCATTCAGGAGAACGGAGCTGCTCTAGAGGTTATATTGGGCTTACACCTCTCAAATAGAAGCCGAAAATGTTGGAATTGCAGTCCTGCATAACGAGAGAATCAGGCGATTGGACAGGACTCCGTAATTAGATGAAAACAGGATATTACCCCCAGCTAAGTCATGTCAATATATTTATGTTTATAGTTCTGGCCAGTATTAATATCATAAATGTAGACAGGGGGTTTTTTGAGTATGACACACAATAATCTCCAGACAAATTGGTGAGTGTTATGATTATAAATTCTCCTTCTGTTATATAAATGTGTATATGTAATCATTTATTAATTTTAATATACAGTCCACAAAAATTATAATAACTTTACCAGAATTCCTGGTGTGTATGTACATTTCATTTGCAATTAATGTAGGTCTAGACTAGAGCAACTTGTGGAGAGATAGATGGTAGGTATCGAAGGGGGACATTTTTGCGACCCAGGTGTCCTAAAAATTCCTACTTGTCTCTGTAACTTTGATAAATAATAATTATCTTTGTTACCATTTACTAGTATGCATGTAATGAGATTCATCCAGGTAAATGTAATTTTCCACAGTACCTATCCAGTTTAGTTTGTGTGTGTGGGGAAATCTGTCGGGAACTGTTGTCAAATTGACCTATCTTCAGTTAAATAAAACAATTTTTTTTCTTCAAGAAATAAATATATTTTTAAAAAAAAATAAAAAAGCAAAAAGAAAATTTAAAAATTCGAAATTCATGTTTTTATCATTTATAAATCTGCTTTGAGTGAACAGTTGGACGGGTATGTACGGCCGCCCTCTGTTTGTTTTGGGTTTTTAAAACCCATCTAAGGTTTTTGCTTAAAAATTCAGAAAAAATCCCCAATCGGTTTCAAGTTCAAACACTGGTCAGCCTTTACTGATGGGGGTGCCTCCCTTAGTTTCATCGACCATTCCCAAAACCATATGGATTAAAGTTTTTCGATAGTTTAAAATGTTTAAGGTCCCCTGGTAGCAGAGCTTTTTACAAAAGTTAAAATATGGTTGTATAAAAATAAACATATTTTAAATATAGCAAAAATTAAATCTGGTTGAAAAATTTTTGAGTGTTTTTTTGGAGAATTTCATTTTAAAAAATATGTGGAAGTTATTTTATAACTGGCCCATGGGTACAGGCAGTTTTAGAACTGATAAGAAGTTTTGGGCCCTGCGTTTCAACCTCCTACATAAACCCCCGTAATGGATGTAAATTCGTTCAAAGTCTATTTTAATATTTATTAATGGGAGACCATTTAAAACTGGATTTATTGTTTTTTGTGGGGCCCCAGTGTACCCGTAATAAATAGGCTAAACACAGGGCGTCGAAGTGGATGCACAAATAGTACGAATATTAAATCAGCAATAAATTTTACATCACTAAAATCAATAACTTGCATGTATTTTTTATGGGGGGGGGGTAAATGTCAGATCATTTTAGGGTAAATTAGCTTACCCGTGTTTACCCCCAAATTCGAGAGTTTACACTAATCGGACCCAAATTGGGTATTGATGAAATGGGTTTCACCAGCCAGCGTGGACCTTTTTTTTTTCCACGTAAGGAATGAGTTGATACTTATTGTTTCTGCTCTAGAGCAAAGTCTGACGTCTAGGATTTATGATTGTTACAGTTTTAATGATATGGATTTTACTCAAAACAAAGGGAATTTTTACGGCTCCATTCGGGCAAGTTCAAATACATATGAAACAGGAAAGGAATGAGGCTATCCCATGTAATTACTCCTGTCATGGATATTAGCTGATGAAAATAGCCCCACAACTAAAACATTGATTAATAACAAAGGTTTGGGATGTGTTAAACCGTTCAATTATTGTTAGAATTTTCAACACAGCTGGTAATTCATGGCACCTCATGGTCAAGTGAGTGGACAGCGAAGTAACTCACCGCGGACATTATAAAAGATGACTATGTAGTTTGTTTTGAATTATACCAAAATAAGTCCCTGGTAATACTTCCCAGCACACATCATAACAGTCGTGTCTGTTGCAGGTTGAGCTGGATTCCCCTGACGTGCGTGTTGGTAGTGATGTTTGCTATCAACATGGGAGCCCATCCCGTGCCTTTCATCCTGTGCGCTGAGTATTTTCCTACCAATATCCGTGGCCAGGTACGTCTGACATGTGAAAAAAACGTATGGTGATATCGACAAGAAGTGAAGAAAGATACTTATGTACAGTTCAGGGCATTTATTATGTCCTGGACTGTACATAAGTGATTTTCCACAAGTCTGACATGACCCATGGCTTGTTTGGCAACGTCCATGGTTCGATTCCCAACACAGGTGGAATGCTGGACGTGTTTCGTTACACCTGCTGTCTCTCTTCACTTAGCAGTAAGTAGGTACCTGGATATTAGTCTGCTCGTGTGGGTCGCATCCTGGGGGACAAGAGTGAAGGGCCACAATGGAAATAAAAGAAACAGTCCTCGATGACGCCTGACTTTCTTGGGTTATCTTGGGTGGCTAACCCTCCCATGTTAAAAATCCAAGGAACTGGAACTCCCCTCCTTGGATCAGTCCTGATTACCTCTCATTACAAGGGTGTTACACGACCTCCTAAGAGTTTAGTGCTTCCCCCATGAATAAATTAAGATAGTTTAAAAAGTCAAAGCTAACAGCAGCAGATTTTTTCACCCTTTTTCATCTTCCACGGTATCTGAAAACACTTCCAGTTTACTTAAAGAAGCTAATTACAACACTGCTACAACCACCTTCACCACTATCAGAAATATAACAATATCAAAGAAAGTTTAGTGTTATCATGAGAAAGGTACAAGAATCTACGCCTTCCCTTGAAACTGTCATAGTGTGAAAAAAAAAGTCATAGTGTGTGTGGGTGAATCAGCTGACGATCAAGCAGTACATATCAGCGAACTCAAATACGTATCTGCCTGACTTCCACGTTTTAAAACGGCTCTGCCTAAAAGTTAGTCTCGTTATTAGGGAAAAAGATAAAAACTGGAAAAAAAAATTCTTGGTTGTGCCCTCATTCATACTACGAACACCTTTATTAAGACCAAGGCGCTCAGGAAGTTTACAGTTGGCAGGTTCTGACGTTAAGTTAATGAAGGCAGCGTCACACGGTTCGTCACATGTTTTCTCTAAATATACTACACCCATGTTTACCGTGTACTCTATATACACCCATGTTTGCCGTATACGCTATATATACACCTGTTTGCCGTGTACTCATATAAAGCAATAATGTCGTTCCCATCTGGCTCTGCTGGGGGTTACACTGGAATAAGGCCACAGCATTTAAAGGAAATGGTTAATCCAATTATTGGGGAAATTGCAGAGACACTGTTTTCAGAGATCACAAGGTTCGTCAACAATTCCTTGGCTGGTCTGATCCCTGATGAAATTAGACCTTTCTTTTTTGGTGCAACACTTTGTGCACTTAAAAAGAAGGATGGAGGAATTCGGCCAATTGCAGTAGGCAACCGTTACGCCGCCCCGTATCCAAAGCTGCTGTCCGAAGTATTCGTGCACAGGCGCCATGATGCTTCAAAACCCAAAAAAGCTTGACTTTGGGGTCTCTCAAGGAAGTGAAGCAGCGGTTCATGCAACAAGGGCGTATATCAACAACCTGCCTGAGGACAATGCAGTGGTAAAATTAGATTTCAAGAATGCGTTCAATCTCCTGAAAAGAGACGTGGTATTAGCAGCAGTACAAGAACATTTCCTGGTCTCTTCCCTTTTGTTTCAGCTGGGTATAGCAAGGAATCAATGCTTCTCTTTGGAGAGCATGAAATCACATCATCGGAGGGTGTCCAACAAGGAGTCCTCTTGCACCATTTCTCTTCTGTATAGCAGTTAGGGAAATCACAGTCAGACTGACCAGCGAGCTAAACATCTGGTTCCTAGATGATGGCACACTAGCAGGTACAAAAGAGTCCCTCCTACATGACCTTACACAGGTAATGACACGGGGACAGGAAATGGGTCTCATCCTGAATCCATCAAATGTGAAATCATCTCAGTCAGTCAACAAGTGATAAATGCAGTGAGATCAAAAACTACCAGGAGCAGCAGTCATTGCCCCACAAATAGTGTCTTGCTAGGAGCACCTCTGGGAAGCAATGCCATTGACACAATTCTCAGGAAGAAATTGGAAGAGTTAAGGAGAATGGAACAACGAATAGGCAATCTGGACACCCACGATGCCTTGTACCTTCTCACAATGTGTTTGAGTCTGCCAGTTGACATATTTCCTAAGATGTGCACCTTCATATGATAACCCTATACTGCACGAATATGACAGTATTCTGAGGCAGATTTTTACGAAAGTACTTAACCTTACTCTAGAAGACAGGCAGTGGAACCAAGCTACACTTCCAGTCAGACTAGGAGGCATTGGTGTCCGCAAGTCATCACAGATTGCGTTACCTGCTTTTCTGTCCTCGTGTATTGCATCCAGAGAGCTTGTAGCAGCGATTCTCCCTGAACATCTTAGGGACAAGATAGGAGTCCAGGACCAAAAAATCATTGACGGAGCAATGATCTGGGATAATCTAACGGGCTCTGGAGCCAGACCTGCTCCCCCCAACAACTACAAGCAATCGCACTGGGATGGTCCAATAGTGGAAAATATTGCCTCAACAATGCTTCAGAGTGTGTCAGGGAAGGATAGAGTCCGCCTCCTGGCAGTGAGAGCCCCTCATGCTGGGGACTTTCTGTTGGCTGTTCCCAACTCCAGCCTTGGCACACGTCTCGACCCACAGACCATCCGCATCGGTGTTGCCCTTCGACTTGCCGCCCCTATTCTCGCCGAACACAGGTGTATTTGTGGCAGTGAAGCAGCAGACCGATTCGGGTACCATGGTCTTGTGTGCCGTAAATCCGAGGGAAAGATTGCAAGACATGAGGAGGTTAATAACATTATCAAGAGGAGCCTCACAACAGCTGGATGCCCAGCAGTAAGGAGCCACCCCAACTATGCAGATCTGATGGCAGCCAGAAGCGTCCAGATGGTATCACCCTTCAAGCCTGGACAGATGGGAAGCAGGTGGTGTGGGACTATACATGTGCATCTACCTTGGCTGATACCTATCTCCAATACACCAGGGAGGAAGGAGGGGCAGCTGCCAGCTTCAGGGAGTCCCAAAAGTCTAGAAAATATGGAGAACTTGCCCATCATTATATGTTTGTTCCCATAGGCTCAGAGACCCTTGGCTCATGGGGAAAGAGTGCATCTAAATTCCTTAAGGAGCTGGGAAAAAGACTCATCAGGGTAACTAGGGATCCTAGGGCAGCTAGTTTTCTGTTCCAGCGGCTCAGTGCGGCTGTTCAAAGGGGTAATGCCTGCTGTATTTTGGGCACACGCCCCAGCTCTGAGGAGCTGGATGAGATTTTCGCCTTATAATCGGTGATACACACGTAACAACATGTACCGTATACAAACAGGTGTATATATAGCGTATACGGCAAACATGATGCACACCTGAATGTCACCCACCTCTGGAAAAACATTGTATTATGCTGAAATAATCTTCAATCTTTATACACCCATGTTAAGATACATCAGCATCAGTGTGTGGGTGGATGGTTAATTCGAGATTGTGTACTCTTGAGAAATCTCCCACATAATTTCTAATAGACCGTATATAAAGAGTACAAGATTAAGCGAGGACATTCCCACAAGCCCCCCTTGGGCAGGGAAGGTGCCAGATAAGAGGCCTAGCTTCTCCCTACGAGCCCCGTGAGGGCTGGGATAGGGCTAGGCCTCGGGACAGCTGGTCCCATAAGATGAAGAGGTACTTGTGCCTCCTCCCATTGCAGACATAGGTCTCAGACACTCCCAAAACAGCGACCCAAGGCCTGGTCACCATCTGGAAAAGGCCCAGACTGGGAGAGTACCTATGAATCAACAAGATATATTTAAGAGGCTTATGGGACTTCAGGTACACTGAGGTTGCAAACAATGGCCCTCCTCCAATGCCCACCGTCTCAGCTCCCCAAGTAACTCCGAAACCCTGGATTAGGAACATTTGGTTCCTATATATTATGAAAATTTACGTCAGTAATAATGGCTAATTATGTGTAATTATGAAGGTTATGTGACGACGGATTAAAGTATTTTGTTTAAACTACTAATTTTCAAATTATTAAGTACAATACTTATCCATTTATTACGTTGGTGATATATCCTAATGCCTCCCAAAATAGAGGCAACTAAAATTGGCCTAGCTGCCTTACTTGTTGTGTGGAGGTAATACAGACCGGGAGACGTATATTAATTCTATAATGAAAGGGAAGAACCAACATGGCGACATCCACCTATCGCGTCCTGTTTTTCCTCCATATCATCCTTTATGGTTTCGTTTTATATATCTGTACCCTTCCAGATGTTTCGTCTTCACTTGTAACGGTGAATGGTCCGCTAATATTACTAAAGGACATTGTAAATTCGAGAAACATTCACCAAATCGTTAATTAGACTTCCAATACCGCCATATTTGCTTCTCCCTCTCCTATTTTGTATACATTTTTATTTAAATTCAGTGACACTTCCAGGTATGTAATACATTTTCCTTTATCAGAATATTAACTTTTCCAACAATACAACAATTACATTTTACTTAATTAACTGATTACAATAAATAATGATATTATAGGGGATATGTTAGCTCCCCTGAGACTTACCAAATTTCAAAATCACATTAACGCTACTTGATAAACACTATTATCCACTTTAATTATTAAACCCAAATCACAGGAAAATTATCAAAATTTTCCACAACACCCATGTTTATCGTGTACTCTATATATACTTAGGAAGGCTTGGTCACCAGGCGGGACGTTGTCTTAAAAAAAAAAATTTAATTCTACTAATGTTTTTTCTATTAGTAAAATGGCTTACGTCCTTTCCAATTATTTTGGAAGTTCCTAAGACCTAATAATTTTTTTTTTTTTTTAGATAATTTGAATACATTGTAAATAATGCCATTGGCCAATTAATAAATTGAAGGCTGTCATAATATTTTTAAAATTTGTGATGTTAGTAAGTTTATTTAGGCATAGGTACACACAAGTACACTTACCATTCATAGAGTAAATTACTTTGGATGACCCAAAAAAAAGTCAAAATGACTTATTTCCATTGGAGGTCCGAGTGTTAAAACTATTTCTTTACAGTTAGTGTTGCCGTTATTACAAAATTAATTTTAGCTTCACTAAAGACGGTCAACGTAGAAGTTTCTACTGTAGCACAATTGTTATAACTACTGTGCATCCTAGTTCTGTGGCACAGTTGTTATAACTACCGTGTAGTCCTAGTTCTGTGGCACAGTTGTTATAACTACTGTGTATCCTAGTTCTGTGGCACAGTTGTTATAACTACTGTGTATCCTAGTTCTGTGGCACAATTGTTATAACTACTGTGCATCCTAGTTCTGTGGCACAATTGTTATAACTACTGTGCATCCTAGTTCTGTGGCACAATTGTTATAACTACTGTGCATCCTAGTTCTGTGGCACAATTGTTATAACTACTGTGCATCCTAGTTCTGTGGCACAGTTGTTATAACTACTGTGTATCCTAGTTCTGTGGCACAGTTGTTATAACTACTGTGTATCCTAGTTCTGTGGCACAGTTGTTATAACTACTGTGTATCCTAGTTCTGTGGCACAGTTGTTATAACTACTGTGTATCCTAGTTCTGTGGCACAGTTGTTATAACTACTGTGTATCCTAGTTGTGGCACAATTGTTATAACTACTGTGTATCCTAGTTGTGGCACAATTGTTATAACTACTGTGTATCCTAGTTGTGGCACAATTGTTATAACTACTGTGTATCCTAGTTGTGGCACAATTGTTATAACTACCGTGTAGTCCTAGTTCTGTGGCACAATTGTTATAACTACTGTGTATCCTAGTTGTGGCACAATTGTTATAACTACTGTGCATCCTAGTTCTGTGGCACAATTGTTATAACTACTGTGTATCCTAGTTGTGGCACAATTGTTATAACTACTGTGCATCCTAGTTCTGTGGCACAATTGTTATAACTACTGTGTATCCTAGTTGTGGCACAATTGTTATAACTACTGTGTATCCTAGTTGTGGCACAATTGTTATAACTACTGTGCATCCTAGTTCTGTGGCACAGTTGTTATAACTACTGTGTATCCTAGTTCTGTGGCACAATTGTTATAACTACTGTGCATCCTAGTTCTGTGGCACAATTGTTATAACTACTGTGTATCCTAGTTGTGGTACAATTGTTATAACTACTGTGTATCCTAGTTGTGGTACAATTGTTATAACTACTGTGTATCCTAGTTTTGGTACAATTGTTATAACTACTGTGTATCCTAGTTGTGGTACAATTATTATAACTACCGTGTAGTCCTAGTTGTGGTACAATTGTTATAACTACTGTGTATCCTAGTTGTGGTACAATTGTTATAACTACTGTGTATCCTAGTTGTGGTACAATTGTTATAACTACCGTGTAGTCCTAGTTCTGTGGCACAATTGTTATAACTACCGTGTAGTCCTAGTTCTGTGGCACAATTGTTATAACTACCGTGTAGTCCTAGTTCTGTGGCACAATTGTTATAACTACTGTGTAGTCCTAGTTCTGTGGCACAATTGTTATAACTACTGTGTATCCTAGTTCACCCACAAATAAGAGATGTGTTCCCTGGCAGGCATCTTCCTTGTGTTACATCTTCGGCACTGTGTTTGCCTTCATGGGTCTTCAACTCTACTCCCCCATGCAAGAAACACTCTCACAAGCTGGACTCTACTGGTTCTACAGCGCCATCAGTTGCTTGGGTGTTATCTTCACCTTCCTCGTCGTGGAGGAAACCAGCAGGAAAGCAGTAGGCTGAGGGAGGGAAGGAGAATGTATTAATTGTATGTCATGGCTATCGTAACATTCTGAACAAACGTCTGTTTCTTTTGCAGTAGGCCTACTGGTGCATACTAGACATATCATTATCAAATCCAAGCCTTCTCACTCATATTTGTCAAACCCATTTTGAAAGTTACCCAAAGTTTTAACTCTATCATTTCAGAATATTCCACTCATTTAGAACTCTCTCTGTAAGTCAATGTATTATTATATCCTTTCTAAATCTGCATTCCCAATTCAGATCAAGTTGTATTAAACAACTACCAATGAACAAAGATAGATTATTAGGTAGGATCGAACCGCGGACTGTAAATTAACGCGTCGACCCTCTACCGTCTCGGCCAATCTGAGTTCGTGGATTATGTGACTTTGAGGGAGGTGAGAATAAACTTACTGTTAAAGCTCCTAGGCTGTGGAGAAGTCGCCAGTTGGATTACAGATGGTGCCTCTAATGCAAGCATGTAAAATACTTCTAACAATTCTCTATTAGAAGCTCAGGTCAGCCGAGAAGGTAGAATGACGGCCTGTTTATTTACGGGCCGCGGTTCGATACCCCCGTTCATGGGTTACGGAGATATATATATATATATATATATATATATATATATTATATATATATATATATATATATATATATATATATATATTATATATATATATATATATATATATATATATCAGTAACCCATGCATGTCGTAAGAGGCGATTAAAATGCCAGGAGCAAGGGGCTAGTGACCCCTTCTCATGTTTACATGTATGCGTGTGTATTTTAAGTATCATGTACCTTCAATAGTATGATATTCTACAAAAGCCTTACTGAAATCCGATTAGATGACATCATATTCTTTATTAAATACCTGGGATGACTTGCTAAAGGTCTGTAGCTTCACCTTATAAATCTGCCTGGAGAATCATTAATAAAATAATGCTCATCAAAGTGGCTTCTCAGCATCTCCGCTTCTATTGATTTTAATAACCTTTCTTTTTCACTGTTGAAATCAGGTTGATGAGCGTTTTGTGATTATTGTGTTCTCCTTGGTTACCCATTTTCTATTCGCTCGTTAAATTCTCCCCTTAATTGAAAAGAACAAGAAAGGGGAGGTGGTAGAGCGACTTTGTTTGTCAGGCCCCTGAGCTCTTGGTACTGTGAGGGGCCCCTGAGCTCTTGGTACTGTGAGGGGCCCCTGAGCTCTTGGTACTGTGAGGGGCCCCTAAGCTCTTGGTACTGTGAGGGGCCCCTAAGCTCTTGGTACTGTGAGGGGCCCCTGAGCTCTTGGTACTGTGAGGGGCCCCTAAGCTCTTGGTACTGTGAGGGGCCCCTAAGCTCTTGGTACTGTGAGGGGCCCCTGAGCTCTTGGTACTGTGAGGGGGGCCCCTGAGCTCTTGGTACTGTGAGGGGTCCCTAACTCTTGTACTGTGAGGGTCCCCTGATAGCTCTTGGTACTGTGAGGGCCCCTACTCTTGTACTGAGGGGGCCCCGAGCTCTTGGTACTGTGAGGGGCCCCTAGCTCTTGGTACTGTGAGGGGCCCCTAAGCTCTGGTACTGTGAGGTCCCCTAAGCTCTTGGTACTGTGAGGGTCTCCTGAGCTCTTGGTACTGTGAGGGTCCCCTGACCTCTTGGTACTGTGAGGGGCCCCTGAGCTCTTGGTACTGAGGGGCCCCTGAGCTCTTGGTACTGTGAGGGGCCCCTGAGCTCTTGGTACTGTGAGGGGCCCCTGAGCTCTTGGTACTGTGAGGGGCCCCTGAGCTCTTGGTACGTGAGGGGCCCTGATTCTTGGTACTGTGAGGCCCCTAGCTCATGGTTACTGTGAGGGGCCCCTAAGCTCTTGGTACTGTGAGGGGCCCCTAATGCTCTTGGTACTGTAAGGGTCCCATGAGCTCTTGGTACTGTGAGGGGCCCTGAGCTCTTGTACTGTGAGGTCTCCTGAGCTCTTGGTACTGTGAGGGTCCCTGAGCTCTTGGTACTGTGAGGGCCCCTGAGCTCTTGGTACTGAGGGGCCCCTGAGCTCTTGTACTGTGGGGGGCCCCTGAGCTTTGGTACTGTGAGGGCCCCTGAGCTCTTGGTACTGTGAGGGGCCCCTGAGCTCTTGGTACTGTGAGGGGCCCCTAAGCTCTTGGTACTGTGAGGGGCCCCTAAGCTCTTGGTACTGTGAGGGGCCCCTAAGCTCTTGGTACTGTGAGGGGCCCCTAAGCTCTTGGTACTGTGAGGGTCCCCTGAGCTCTTGGTACTGTGAGGGGCCCCTGAGCTCTTGGTACTGTGAGGGGCCCCTGAGCTCTTGGTACTGTGAGGGTCCCCTGAGCTCTTGGTACTGTGAGGGGCCCCTAGTGATTTTTTCAAACGAATAACAAGTTAAAGAAATATTAAATTTATTTTTACAAGGATGACCACAGTTTAAATTCAAACATTTTTTTTGCGTACTTCGGAAGCAAATTTCTTCAAAACATAATTGAGAGTTTTTGAAAACGTTTCTGGAGGGCCCTGGGCTGCAGCCCCTAAAACACATTCCTTAGTATGGCCCTGGTAGCAGGTGAAATACCCTCCGTCAGAAATTATGTAAAGTCCGAAGGAACTGACGAAGAATCTTGTACAGCTGCAAATTTCTGGAGGGAAAAAAATGGAATCTGGTCTTAAAGAGTGTCTCAAAATAACAAAGTATAGTAACCCTGGGAGATGTTAAATCGGCCAAATTGATTGGAATTCCTTTACTGGGAAACTAGTCAAACGATTTCTTAATGGTAATGCAGACTATATATTTATGAAGTTTCTGACATCATTATATTAATAGTATACTAGGCCCATGCTGGGCATAGGCCAGTAGGCCTGTGTCACTGCTCCATTCTTGCAATGAATTTACATTAATGTAATATATTTTTGTAATATTTTGTGATATGTTTTGAATACAGATATATGTAATACTCTGTGATAGTCAAACATACATGTATTGATTGACTCGACTTTTGTTTTAATGTGACAATATGCTTCTTGAAATATGTTGAATACAGACTTTATGGTAGCATGTTAGTTCACTGTTAGTGGACGGAGGATCGATCCTCCACCACACAGGTTGAATACTTCACGTAATAATAATAATATAATGATAATAATAATAATAATTATTATTTATTATAATTATAATCCCCGATACGTGTTTGTAAAAATAAATATTTAAAAATGTTTGTGTAAATTTTCATTACCATGTGTATGTGTATATATATATATATTTTTTTTTTCAACAAGTTGGTCGTCTCCCACCGAGGCAGGGTGACCCAAAAAAGAAAGAAAATCCCCAAAAAGAAAATACTTTCATCATCATTCAACACTTTCACCTCACTCACACATAATCACTGTTTTTGCAGAGGTGCTCAGAATACAACAGTTTAGAAGTATATACGTATAAAGATACACAACATATCCCTCCAAACTGCTAATATCCCGAATCCCTCATTTAAAGTGCAGGCATTGTACTTCCCATTTCCAGGACTCAAGTCCGACTATATAAAATAACCGGTTTCCCTGAATCCCTTCACTAAATATTACCCTGCTCACACTCCAACAGCTCGTCAGGTCCCAAATACCATTCGTTTCCATTCACTCCTATCGAACACGCTCATGCACGCTTGCTGGAAGTCCAAGCCCCTCGCCCACAAAACCTCCTTTACCCCCTCCCTCCAACCTTTTCGAGGACGAACCCTACCCCACCTTCCTTCCCCTACAGGCTTATACGCTCTCCATGTCATTCTACTTTGATCCATTCTCTCTAAATGACCAAAGCACCTCAGCAACCCCTCTTCAGCCCTCTGACTAATACTTTTATTAACTCCACACCTTCTCCTAATTTCCACACTCCGAATTTTTTGCATAATATTTACACCACACATTGCCCTTAGACAGGACATCACTGCCTCCAACCGCCTCCTCGCTGCTGCATTCACAACCCAAGCTTCACACCCATATAAGAGTGTTGGTACTACTATCTTTCATACATTCCCTTCTTTGCCTCCACAGATAACGTTTTTTGTCTCCACATATACCTCAACGCACCACTCACCTTTTTTCCCACATCAATTCTATGATTAACCTCATCCTTCATAAATCCATCCGCCGACACGTCAACTCCCAAGTATCTGAAAACATTCACTTCTTCCATACTCCTCCTCCCCAATTTGATATCCAATTTTTCTTTATCTAAATCATTTGATACTCTCATCACCTTACTCTTATCTATGTTCACTTTCAACTTTCTACCTTTACACACACTCCCAAACTCATCCACTAACCTTTGCCATTTTTCTTTAGAATCTCCCATAAGCACAGTATCATCAGCAAAAAGTAACTGTGTCAATTCCCATTTATATATATATATACTATTTCGCTAGAACTCTTTATTCTGTCGATTAAGTACAAGAAACTGCCAATTTACCTATTTCAAGTACCCAATAAAGTGATTTGAAGTTACTAATTTGGCCAGTTGCACACAAAATTCAAGAAAGCACAATTTCAAAATAGGATCCAGCATAGACAATGAAGACATTCCTGGCACTAAAATAACATATTATCTGTTCATTAGTCGCATCTCCCGACTCCTCTTATGTTAAGCTTGCTTTTAATTTTGAATTTTTATTCACAAGAAAAAAAATAGAAAATTTACTGTTATTCAGACTACTGCATAATTGTATAAATAATATCACCGCATTCCTGTACACCCAACTATTATATTCCTCTGTACAACCATGTAATTTGTCAAAATAAAAAAATCTAAATCTAAATCTAAATACACATCAAAGCCACCAGTTGACGTGTATTATACACGTGACTTGATTTATTTACTCTTGAACATCGGCAAAAATCGAAGTTCTGCTACTTTGAGCTCAGTTTCAAGCTACTTTTAGTTTTTAAACCATTGAAAATCATATATATTTCTGTAAAATATCTTCCATTCTGTCAAATGAGACGAGGAAAACGAGAATGCAGCCATAAATACCATACGAAAATACACCGTAAAGTTGCTGTTTTAAACCAAAAACACAATCAGTTTTTGTTAGGTAAGACACGTATGCAACAGTCTGGAGAAGAACTCTTCTCCAGACTGAGGGACTGACCACCTCAAAACTTTAAGGGTGATGGACTGATTACATCGTCTTCAAGTCTCTTCTGCTTCTATCAACTTTTCTGTACTCGACTGAAGAAGCCTACTGTGTAGGCGAAACGTTTCGAAATAAAGATACCTAACTGTTGCATATGTGTCTTACCTAACAACCTGTCGGTATTTTATACCATTTTAATGTACAATCAGTTTTCTCATTATGCACTGCGTGCTGCAGGATTTTCTTTTATACTGGGCACACTGACCATAAGAACATAAGAAGGAACACTACAACAGGCCTACCCACGCGTCACCTCACCTGACTCCTGCCACTATATATATAAATGTTTTCTTAGTTTTCTCTGTATTAGGACTGAAGAAGCCACTCGTGGCGAAACGTTTCCTTTAATAAATGTCCTGAACTGTACATAAGTGTCTTTTTCCACAACAGGCCTACTGACCCATGCGAAGCAGGTCCATGCC